AGCTCTTCAGCTCAAGGCGATAGCTCTACCACTTGAGCTACAGCGCCACTTCCTGATAGTACTTTTTTATGCTGGTCCTAGGGCTTGAACTCAGGACCTGGGTGCTGTCCCTGAGTTTTCTGCTTAAGCCATAGCTCCCCTTCTGGTCTGTTGGTACTTAATTGGAGATAAAAGTGTCATGCACTGACTTTCCTGCCCCAGGTGACTTTGAACCATGATCCTCAGATCTTAATCTCCTGAGTAGCTAGGATTACAGGCGTGAGCCATCAGCACCTGGCCAGTACTGATAATTTACCAATATGGAATCTCAAAATTCTTGTGACCTACACAAACTTATAATGAGCTTATCATCAGGATTTTTTTTAATTTGAACTGTCTCTTGACTTCAGCAGTATAGTTTCTGTAAGTGGGAAAGCCCAAGCCTCACATTCTCTTCCCTCAGTTGCAAACCTGTATAATACTGTCATTAGGTACTGATGCTTGAACTCAGGACCTAGTATTGCCTCTTATCTTTTCCACTCAAGGCCTAATACTCTACCACTTGAAACCCAGCTCCACTTATGGCTTTTAGATAATTAATTAGAGATAAGTCTTAGGGACTTTCTTGCCCCAGCTGACTTTGAATCATGATCCTCAGAGCTCAGCCTCCTGACTAGCTAGGATTATAGGCATGAGCCACCATGAGTGCCATTTGACTTTAGAGTGACATTGGAAAACTTGCTAACCTTTAAATAATTTCCCCTTTATATAATGCTAACCTTACAGTTGATTGTATTTACTTACAATTAACGCGTATAGGTTGCTTGTGTACTTTTCCAGCATTTACTCGGTAATATTTAATGCTTAAAAATAACCCAGGCGCCAGTGGCTCATGCCTGTAATCCTAGCTACTCAGGAGGCTGAGATCTGAGGATCACGGTTCAAAGCCAGCCCAGGCAGAAAAGTCCGTGAGACTCTTATCTCCAATAAACCACCAGAAAACCACTGTGGCTCAAGTGGTAGAGCCCTCACCTTGAGCTGAAGAGTGCAGGGACAGTGCCCAGGCCCAGAGTTCAAGCCCCACGACCAACAAAAAAAAAAAAAAACCATGAGGAAGGCATTGCTATCATTCCCAATTTCTTATACCTGAGGAACCTGACACAGAAAACTAGTACCTGACAGCTAGTAAGTAAGTAGATTAGGACTCTTAGCTGAAGCATAGAGGTAGTAGTGCCTGGTTATCCTAGATGAAGAAGCACTCAGGGTAGACCTGTTAGAGCCTTGGCAGCATCTACGACTTTAGCCTACTTGGAAGTAAACAGTCATACTGTTTTGTGCATATGCTTATAGAAGACATAAAACTCTGAAACTGGCATACTAGCCTGTTGGCTTATGAAGAAGGTAAAATTCTAGAACCCACACATCACTTGACGCGATCCTTCGTGGCTTGTTGTTTACTCCCAGTATGTTTTGGGGGGGTTTTGTTTATTTTTCTGTAAGAATTGGTGAGTAGGAATTAGTTTATCCAGGCTAAACAATATTACTAAAAGGAAATACTAAATGACTGTTTAAAATAATGCACTACTTCTACATGTAGTAGCCTGGGTAAATCTCAAAATATTGAAGTTCTATTGTATATGTCATGTGTATGTGTATATATGCATATTCCATTTTTGGAAAAGTTTTGCCTCACAAAACATGATGCCCTGTACTGAGAGGTACCTATATGCCTAAAAGTGTGTGACGTGCACTGAAGGATGCACCACAAACTCTGCTTTCCTCTGTGTGAGAAAGAAACTGGTATCATGACTTAAAGGTTTAATTTTTAAATAAAATTATGATAGGTGGTTTTGTTACTTTCATTAACAGGAGCCACAGATGTTCATGCTTTTCTGTTTTAAAAAGGTCTGTAAATTGGTTGGGAATGTGGCTTAATGGTAGAGTGCTTGCCTAGCATGCATGAAGCCCTGGGTTCGATTCCTAAGTACCAGATAAACAGAAAAGTCCAGAAGTTGCGCAGTGGCTCAAGTGGTAGAGCACTAGCCTTAAGTGAAAAGAAGCTCAGGGACAGTGCCTAGGCCGTGAGTTCAAGCCCCAGGACTGGCAAGAAAAAAAAGTTCTGTAAATAATCAGACATGTATTAAGTACTACTTCCTATAAGGCAGACATAGTTAGGTGACGTGAGGGTAATAGGCCTAAACCATGCAGGGCCTGTCTTTGAAGGAACATCATTCTGTGCAGTACATGGTAGCTCTGTGTGAACAACTGCTATAAGATAGAACCTTACTATTTATCCTTGATTGTGAAGATCAAGAGATGTTTTTATTATTTAAGAAATCATTTGGAAGCCAGATGCCAGTGGCTCATGCCTGTAAACCTAGCTACTCGGGAGACTGAGATCTGGAAGATTGAGGTTTGAAGCCAGCGTAGTCAGAAAAGTCTGAGAGACTCCATCACCAATTAACCCACAAGAAGCCAGGCTAGAGACATGGCTCAAGTAATAGAGTAAATAGCCAAGTGAGTAAGCTGAGAGAGTGAATGTGAGGCCTTGAATTCAAACCCAGTTTGGTGGGGAATGGGGACACACAATGACTAAATGATGTTTTTAGCAGCATGGTTCAGATGTCATGGGGAGGTAGTGAGTCAGTTCAAGAGAATGGATTCCTTGATGAGTTTACGTTTGCCAGAACATTCCAAGACGTGTTTTAGAAGCTACCTATGGTATTAGTATCATAAAACCTAGAGAAGACGAAGATCCTCATCGACCTCCAACCTCAGAAGAACTATTAACAGCTTATGGATGTGAGTTGTATGTTATTTTAAAACATGAGAAACAAATGTAGTTAACATAAATAGTAAGTTTGGAGGTAGGGTATCTTGTTTTAAACCCAGGGTAAACATGTGTTGTATACCCCTCAGCTATTTTATTTTGTAATAATAATATAAATGCTATTTTTTGATCTGGGGTCGTGCCCAAAATGGTAAAGTATATGTCACTTCCAGCTTTTTCTGAGTAGTTTATTGGAGAAAAGAGTCTCACGAACTTTGCTGCCTGGGCTGGCTTCAAAGTAGGATCCTCAGACCTCAGCCTCCTGAGTAGCTAGGATTACAGTTGTGAGCCACCAGTGCCTGACAATGTTAATAATCTTAATAAGGGGCTGGAAAAGTAGCTCAGTGGTAGAACGCTTGCCTTGCATGCATGAGGCCCTGGGTTCGATTCCTCAGCACCACATATGCAGAAAAAGCCACAAGTGGCGCTGTGGCTCAAGTGGTAGAGTGCTAGCCTTGAGCTGAAGAGCTGAGGGACAGCGTCCAGGCCCAGAGTTCAGGCCCCACGACTGGACCCAAAAAATAAATAAATAAAATAATCTTAATAAACCTTTTCCATTTGGTGTTTTACTTGGGAAGGCCTTTACCATCACCCAACGATAAAATTGTCTTCCTATATTATTTTTTCTTTTTTTTACATGCTTTTTATTGTAAAAATACTGTACAGAGGGGTTATTTAGCATTTAGATTTTTTTTTTTTGGTTGGTCATGGGGCCTGAACTCTGGGCCGGGGCGCTGTCCCTCAGCTCTTTAGCTCAAGGCTAGTGCCCTACCACTTGAGCCACAGCACCACTTCCAGCTTTTTTCTGCTTATGTGGTGCTGAGGAATCGAATCCAGAGCCTCATGCATACAAGGCAAGCACTCTACCATGGAGACCCTTATTACAGTGTGACACCCCATGCATGCACACACATACCCTTACTTCCAAAACTGCCTTGTATCCTTGCTGGCTCCACAGCTAGGGTATGCTGCAGGCCACCACAGTCCTTTCCTTCCTGGAGGCTTGAATTGTTGAAACCATGTGGTGGAATCTCTTGTTCACTTCTCTTACTCGGCACAGTCATGACAAAATTCACCTGTGTTGTATCTACCCATTGCTCGTTGTAAAATCAGCTCTTATAATGGGAAATACAACATTTTTTTTGAGAGATATTACAAATTAATTTTATTCAAGTATTAAGTTGTGTTAGGTATTTCATTTGCTGTGCTTTCAGTAATGGTAATTTTATTTTCTTTTTTTTCTAATAGTTCTTTGATTTTTTTTTTTGGGGGGGGGGGTCCAGTCATGGTGCCTGAACTCTGGGCCTGGGCGCTGTCCCTCAGCTCTTCAGCTCAAGGCTAGCGCTCTACCATTTGAGCCACAGCGCCACTTCTGGATTTTTTCTTTTTGCTTATGTGGTGCTGAGGAATCGAACCCAGGGCCTCAGGCATGCAAGTCAAGCGCTCTACCACTGAGCCACCTTCCCAGCCTTGGGAAATACAACATTCTTATTCTTATGAATATAATTAGCATTTAACTCGGTCAGTAGAACAAATGCCAAATACAAATCCTTTGGTCTCATTAAGCCAAAATGCAAAGAATCAGGGACAGGTCACTGGAACGATCCTAGTTTAGTTGGATCTTCAGAGCCAAGGTTGATGAGGGCTTTGAACTGTGATCCTCAGATCTCAGCCTCTTGAGTAGCTTAAGATTACAGGTGTGAACCCCCCCCCCCAGCATATGGCCTATAATCTTCTGATTGAAGTTTTGCACAATTCATTACTTTTGCAGGTATGCGAGGATTCATGACAGCACATGGACAGCCAGACCAGCCTCGATCTGCACGCTATATCCTAAAGGATTATGTCAAAGTGAGTGGATCTTCTTTATTACTCGCTTGAATAAGCATGTTTTCTTTTCCCAATTCTGTGTTCTTAGCTAAAACAACCTGTCAAGTTCTAAGGGGATTTTTTTTATTGAGATGAGGTTATAACTGGGATAGTTAAGTCAGCATCATGAAGAAGGGACTGATAGAATATTAGGAAAGGAAAGATGAACATTTCTGAACACCTGTAATTGCTGAGTTACTGATTTATGCATTTGATTATCCTGTCTGGCCTTTTGCTTTTTTCCATTTTAAGTATATTACCATAATTTCCTTACAATATAGCTATTTATATGCTTTCTTCCTATGCTTATCTAGCAGTAATAATAATAATAGCAAGTCACTGGGAGTATACTCTATGGCATGTACAGGCCTTGAGTTCAATCCATAACACCCCAAATAAAATAAAGTACAGTTCTAAGGTTGATATTGTTATTTTGCAAATGACGAGCCTGTGCTATTTTGGGTTTCCTCATGAGTAAAATGGAGAGTCACAGTACCTAGCTCATGAAATTATGGGAAATATGTGAACACATGGTCCTTTGTTTATGTTTAGTAACACCAAGCTCATGATTTTTGTTGTTGTTGTTTTTGTCGGTCATGGGGCTTGAATTCTGGGCCTGGGTGGTGTCCCTGAGCTCTTCAGCTCAAGGCGAGCACTCTACCACAGTGCCACTTCCTGTTTTGTGTACATAATAAACCCTGAAGAGTTGTTACATATCTAGTTTAGGTCTTTTCTAAATACCAGCTTTATAGTTTCCTAAGGAATAAACAGTTGTGGGGATTTGGCTTTATTCCTTCCTCAAAGTCACATGAGACTTCTTGGAACATAACAGTCAAAGTGAGCAGCCATTACTATTTTGATTTCAATTGAGAAAAACAGGAGTTAGCACTATTTATATGGTAAATCATTTATTCATTTACCTTTTATTTTTAACTGTGGGAGATGGAAAGATAAGCTTACATCACAGCTACAGTGACTCACACTTGTCATCCTAGCTACTGAAGAGGCTGAGATCTTGAGAATCAAAGTTCAAAGTCAGCCTGGGCAGATAAATCGGAGGGACTCTTCAGGTAACTACCAGAAAGCTGAAAGTGGAGCTGTGGCTCAAATTCTAGAGTGCCAGCCTTAAATGAAAAAGCCAAGCAAGAGCCTAAAGCCCTGGTATCAGAATAACAACAACAACAAAAAGCATCTACACAGTCTTTTGGGACAGCATCTCATTACATAGCCCAGGCTGACCTTGCACTTATGATCTCTCAGTTGCTAGAATGAGAGCATTCATCCCCACTCTTAGCCCTATAGGAACTACTTTGATTTATGCCCATTAGTACGGTCATAATTGCCATAAGTGTAATCATTGAAGTGCACCAAAGAACACTTAGCAGAAATGCAAACAAAATTAAAGGAACCCAGAGAAGAAAGATCTCGTCTCATCTTGGGCCTTGGAAAGAGTTAGGTCCCTAAAACACTTGAAGGGTCAGCATTAGTGTGTTAGTGTCTGAGTCTTTTTATTCAGTGAGCCAAAATTAAGCTTAATCAAAAAACAAATGTTGCTGTAAGTACATACTTTTTAAGCAAAAGTAGATTACAGAAAAGTAAACAGGCTCAGTGGGAGGTGGGGAGACCTAACAAGGATTAATGAGATAAATATTATAATTTGTTTGCATGTATAAAAAGTGAAGCCCGGTACCAATGGCTCACGCCTGACTGAGATCCAGGTTCAAAGCCAGCCCAGACAGGAAAGTCTGTGAAACTCTTATCTCCAGTAAACCACCAGAAAACCGGAAGTGGCACTCAAGTGGTAGAGCACTAGCCTTGAGCTGAAGAGCTGAGGGACAGCGCTCAGGCCCAGAGTTCAAGCCCCATGGCCGACAAAAAAAAAAAGTGAGGCACCAGTGACTCATACCTGTAATCCTAGCTACTCAGGGGGCTGAGATCTGAGGATCCCAGTTTGAAGCCAGCCCAGGTGGAAAAGTCCCCGTGAGACTCTTTTCTCCAATTAACCACTCAAAAACTGGAAGTGGTGCTATGCCTCAAGTGGTACAGAGCTGCCTTGAACACAAAGACACAGGAATAGCATCCAGGCCCTGAGTTCAAGTCTCACAACCAACAACAGCAAAAAAAAAAAAGGGCTAGGAATGTGGTTTAGTGGTAGAGTGCTTCCCTAGCATCCATGAAGCCCTGGGTTTAGTTCCTCAGTACCACATAAACAGAAAAATCCAGAAGTGGTGCTATGGCCCAAGTGGTAGAGTGCTAGCTTTGAGCAGAAGCTCAGGGACAGTGACCAGGCCCTGAGTTCAACCCCAGGATTGGGGAAAAGAAAAAAGAAAAAAAAAAAAAAAACAGAAAACAATGAAATCTGCTGAAAACGTTTTGAGAAGGGGGAATAGGGTAATGCTGAGTGATTGCTAGAGGGGATGAGGGTAATTGAGACTTGCTCTTTACATGTATGAAAATGTCACAATGAAACTCCCTTGTACAACAAATGTGTGCCAATAAAAATTTGAAAATTAAAAAAATCAGGAAAACCAGACACTCCCTCAGCATGTCGCTGACTGACATGCCTCCTCTGAGGGCCTTCCCTGAGCATGTGATGACACAATGGACGCTTAGGCTGCACTGCTCACCTCCATGTTGTCTCTGTAGGGTAAACTCCTGTACTGTCATCCTCCTCCCGGAAGAGATCCTGTGACATTCCAGCATCAACATCAGCGACTCCTGGAGAGTAGAATGAATGATGACGAGATAAAAATGCAGCCCAGGGGAAATAAAAAAGCAAAGCAGATTGAAAATGCAGTTGACAAGACTTTTTTCCATCAAGTGAGTTTTAAAATTACTTTAACTTTGATTTCCACATGTTCTTTGTAATAGTGAAAAGTAAGATATTCATGTACTATAAACAATATTTAAGCTTGCACATGCACATACCCTTTTTGGGTTTCTGAGGCAGTTTCTCTATATACCCTCAGCTGGTCTCAAATGAAAACTCAAATTGTTTCCTGCCTCAGCTGCCTGAGTGCTAGGAATAGAGGTGTGCACCTGTACTGACAGCTCTATACACACCTTCTAAAACAAGCTTCTCAGTAGCTGATAGTACATTTTCAGAGTTGTGTGGCCATCACTATGACCATAGTATAATACTAACACTTTACTATTATACAAAAGTTGTGAGATATCGCTTTACACTTAATATTGGGTTAATTTTTTTCTAACTAAATTTATATTTTTTAGAGTCATTGTTTTATGTGGGTTGAAAAATTTGAATTTTGATATTAAGATAGAGCTGTCTATGGGGCTGGGAAGGTGGCTCAGCGGTAGAGCTCTTCCTTTGCATGCATGAGGCCCTGGGTTCGATTCCTCAGCACCACATAAGCAGAAGAAAGCCGGAAGTGGCGCTATGGCTCAAGTGGTAGAGTGCTAACCTTGAGCTGAAGAGCTGAGGGACAGCGCCCAGGTCCAGAGTTCAGGCCCCACAACTGGACCCAAAAAAAAAAAAAGAGCTGTCTAGAAAACAGCTGGTATTTTGAGTCTAGATGACTGAAGATGGCTTTTGAAACTAGGAGACTTAAATGAAGTAGTCAAGGGTAGAGGGAAAAGAGACGAATTGAAGACAAGCTGTGGGGAGAGAAGGAGGATCTGTCCTCCAGGAAAGGGTAGTCCACTGAGCGCTCATGTTCATCCTGACGCAATTCAGACAGTACTGTGCATATCCCTTAAAGCACGTGGCCTGCTGGCATCTCAAGTCATGTCCTCTTGTTTCCCAGGAGAATGTCAGAGCTTTGACCAAGGGAGTCCAGGCAGTGATGGGTTATAAGCCTGGGAGTGGCCTGGTGACTCCAGCTACTGTGAGCGCTGAGAATGGGGCTGGGAAGCCCTGGAAAAAACATGGCAACAAAAATAAAAAAGAAAAGAGTCGTAGACTCTACAAGCACCTGGACATGTGAACATGGGCAGCAGCAGAAACGGCACCTCCACAGTGCAGATAAGACAGACTGCTGGTCTCCTGCGGAACACATCCATAGCCCTGGAGTGCAAGGTGCTCGTGGGGAGCGCAGTGGCTTCTCACAGTTGACATCCAGCCTGGGCAGCTCCTCAAAACACCAACCTTGACTACAGTTGTCACCACAGAGCCCCAGAAACCTAGTCCTGTTGGAGGCTAAAGATGAATCATGTGGCTTTGTTCCTGTAAACATGCACACAAATGCATACCAACTTGTGAGTCAGGGGAATGTTTTTGAAAAGATAATAACATTCAATTGCCACTAACTGATGTTCTCATTGGTTTAAGTAAATAAACTGCCATTTGCACATAGTGTATACCTTTAATCATGTTCATTTGCTAAAACAGGAATTTTATTTTCTTTCATGGATGTTTATTATATAACAGGAATTTTAGATGGATTCTTTTAAGCACATTGTTTGGATTTATTCTCAACCACACACACACACACAAAACACAGAGTCAATACAGCCCTTCAATTGCAGAGGGCTGGGGGCAGGCATGGGTCGTGTTTAAAATCCCTGAGAACATTGCCTTCCATGTTAGGACTCATTGGGTTCATTCTACATGTCCCACAGAAGATCCCAATGGAAGTAATAGAAGTAAACCCCAGCTGCCCACATCAACACCATCTCATTAAAGCCTCCATCATTTTTCTCTCTTCCCTTTATCCCTCTTCTACCTCCCTTTAATTTCCTGGGGTTGGCTCCCTAGTAAAATGACTGAACAGAAGTCCTTGCTTAGAGTCTGAGGAACTCAAACCAGGCCATCGTGATGGGGGATTTCTATTTTTGCCTTGCCATTTTTATTTTCACATCTACCATGAATGTCTTTCATTAAGCACTCTTGATTTTCTTTTGAGGATTGCCACCCTCACTGCAGTCTGTACTATAGACAAAGGAATTAATCATTATCGTTATCACTTCCCAGCATTTTATTATGAGCAATACACCACTCTTTTAATGTAGAACCTGCCATATATCTGTCATCTGTTTACGTTCAGGAAATTAGAAAGATGTCCTTGTTAGGAATCAATAGCCACGTGTATTTTAATGGGGGTAAACTGGAAATCTTATAAGCTAGAAATCTATTAAGTAATATCCTATTTTAACAGATCTGAAGTGAGAAAATAAAAGTTTTCCTGTTAATATCCAATGGCTGCATGTTAGGCACACTGTATCCAGATGAGGGTGAAGAGGACACAGGGCAGGGAAGGTTTTGTTCTCCAGGGACTGTCCTGTATGAAGAGAAAACAATTTTGTACATTCTGTGAGCAACTGGCAACGTACATTTTTAAGATGTGCAGCAGCCAGGCATTTGTGACTCGTACCTATTCAGGATGCTGAGATCTGAAGATCAAGATTAGATGTCAACCCCAGGCAGACAAATCCCCAAGAGCAAAGAGCTAGAAGTAGAAATGTGGCTCAAGTGCTAAAGCAAACCTAGTATGTGTAAGGCCTTGAGTTCAAACCCCAGTACACCAAAATAAGGGGGAGGGGAGCAAGGACAAAATCTTTTTGTTTTTTTAATCATTTCTGTTTGCAGAGTGGACACAGCCCTTTAAGTAATGTATTGTCAGACCTGGACAGGAAACTGCCCCAGCAAGGTGCCTTACAGAAGGGAAAGCTCCTGCAGGCCTTGCAAGTTGTTTAGCCCAACCCTTCTTCAAAGGACAATGCCTGAGGCCCTGCAGCTGCCCTGGCCAACAGGAAATGCTATGAGCTGTGATGTGGCCCACTGCCCAGCAGGACAAGTACTATGTCCTCTTACTAGGTTTTCTTTTCTGTGGACTGAACTGTGGCCAAAAGCCCATGATCCTTAGCTCCCAGTCAGTTGCCGGCTCTGAGGATCCGGGAATAGGAGCTAGAAGAATCTGGAAGGGGCCCATGGGGAGGAGTTGTTTAGAATACATGTTCTAAGTGTTCTGCACAGGATTTGGATTCTTCACAACCTGGTCTCTGTCTCCTCCCTGTACTGCAGTACCTCTGCTGCTGTTTTGCCAAGAGGGCCCCGCACTGTACCCCAATCACATCTGCAAAGAGCAGAAAAAGAAAGCCCACAGCCCACATTCTACTCAACTCGTTTTTCTTCAAATCATCATGACCACGGACTGCCAGCAGCCACTCCACCATGTCTCCATCTCTAACCCTGTGCTTCCCACAAGACTCCTCCAGGAAATTAGAGAACACGGTGTAAGAGGCTGAATGATGGCTCCCTAATGTATGGATTCCTAATCTCTGCAACCCTCAGGTGCTAATTTATGTAGGAAAAGGATCTTTGTAGTGTGATGAGGTTAGGGAACTCAAAATGGAACATGATCCTGGTTATCTGAGGGACACTACAAAACACAGGCAGAGGGAGATTAGACACTCACAAGTGGAGAAGGTGATGAGACCAGGAACATGATCCTGGTTATCTGAGGGACACTACAAAACACAGGCAGAGGGAGATTAGACACTCACAAGTGGAGAAGGTGATGAGACCACAAAGGCTGAGATCAGACTCTCAGACCTGGTGCTAGTGGCTCATACCTGTAACCCTAGCTACTCAGGAGGCTGAGATTTCAGGATTGTGGGTCCAGACATGTGTCTCCAATTAAACAGCAAAAAAGCAGGAAGTGGAACTGAGGCTTAAATGAGTGCTAGCTCTTAGCACAAAAGCTCAGGAACAGTGCCTAGACCATGAGTTCAAGCCCTAGTTCCAACACAAAAACAAAACAAAAGCACATTAATTGTGGACCTGGGAAGGTGGCTCAATGGTAGAGCGCTTGAAGCCTTGCATGCCTGAGGCCCTGGGTTCGATTCCTCAGCACCACATAAGCAAAAAGGAAAAAAAAAGACGCAAGTGGTGCTGTGGCTCAAGTGGTAGAGCGCTAGACTTGAGCTGAAGAGCTGAGGGACAGCGCCCAGGCCCAGAGTGCAGGCCCCATGACCGGACCCCCCCCCCAAAAAAAAAGCACATTAATTGATTTCTCACAGTTTCTGAAAGCTGGGAGGTCCAAGGCCCTAGGATTTTGGTATCTGGTAAGAGCCTGCTTTCTGGATCATAACTGTCAAGTCCTTGCTGTGTCCTCCACCCTCATGACTTTGTTACCTTCTAACAGGCCCATCTTCGGATGACTTTGTTATCTTCTAACAGGCCCATCTTCAGATGCCATCAAATTGGTATGGAGCTTCCAACACAAGGTGCAAACATTCAGACCAGAGCAATACCTGAAACACTGTATAGTGTTTCATTCTCCAGTTATAACTTTTTTAAAAAATGAATAAACCTGCCACAAAGTGTTCTTCAGTTTGCAAACCTAGCTATTTAGGAGGTATAGTTTTAGTTCAATGCCAGCCTAAGCATAAAATTTCATGAGACTCCAACCAATGATTGTGAGCACACACACCTGCACACAAACTACAGAAAAAAAGGATAAGCAAAAGTGTGATTTGATTTTTTTTGGGGGGTCCAATTGTGGGGCCTGAACTCGGCCTGGGTGCTGTCCCTCAGCTCTTCAGCTCAAGGCTAGCGCTCTACCACTGGAGCCACAGCGCCACTTCCGGCTTTTTTCTTTTTGCTTATGTGGTGCTAAGGCATGCAAGGCAAGCGCTCTACCACTGAGCCACCTTCCCAGCCCCCCAAAATGTTATTTTTGTTATAAAACATTTCTGGGACTGGAAGTGTTGCTTAAGTAACAGTACTAGCCTTGTAATTGCAGGCTCTGAGGTCAATCTCAGGCCTTGAATTCAATCCTTGCAAAAATAAGTAAACAATATTATTATTCAGTCATAAAAGAGAATGGAGTAGAATTGGAGAATGGCAAGTGGTAGAGTGCCTTCCTAGCAAGTTCAAAGCCAAATTCAAAAGTCCAAGAGCCAACAAAGAGGGAGCTGGGGGAGAGAGAAAGCAAGAAAGAGAGAGGGGAAAGGAGGGAAAGAAAGGGAAGAAAAAAAGAAAGAAAGAAAGGAGAGAGAGAGGGACGGGGGAGGGAAAGAAAGAAAGAAAAATAACAGAAGAAAGATGCAAGCTTGGTAAATCTTAGAAGCAATATGTTAAGTGCAAGAAGCAAGTCACAGATCGTTCGCCTGCTGGATGATTCCATGCATACAGAATCGGTCATGGAAGCAGAAGGTTAAATTCATGATTTCCAGGGCTGGGAGAGTGGAGGACAAATAGAGTGTAACTACTAATGCCTGGGGGCTCGGTGCGGGAGTGATGGAAGTATTCACTGAATAGTTCACCTTAAACAGGAAATGTTTATGGTATCTCAGGTTTTTCATATTTATTCATTTATTTGTGATGCTGAGGGTGGGGTCCTGGGCCTCCTGCTTTCTGTGCAAGTGGTCTACCCAACAGCTATTTCCTCAGACCATGAAGCTGATAGACAGACAGATGATAGATTTGTTAAAGCAAAATGATATCCATGCCCTATTTTAAGCACACTTAATTCAATACGGAAAATTTTAAATATATGGTAATAGTTTTTGAGAACACCGGCTTTGTGTGCTGAATTGGTGGCAATGTGGCTGGCTGGGAGTGGGTGCGTTCCAAAACCCGCTCCTTGGCGGGGATGACGTCTCTCCGGATAGCAGCTTCAGAAAAGAGGGAGGCGAGAAGGACGACCCGCTCCCCGGCCCCTCTGCGCCCTTTCCTGGTCTCTCATTCTCCTTGTTGTGCACTGCGCACCCCTGGGCGCCCAACGCCCCAGCCCTCGGCCGCGCTGCTGTGCGCGCTGTCTGGCTCTGGAAGTGGGGTGACTTTGGTGCCGGGACACCGTACCTTCCTTACAGGGACCGGCGAGGCGCGTGTCCTCGGGGGAGCCCGACGGCTGCCCGCTCCCAAGGACCGCCAAGGGTCTCGCGGACTCCCCCGCGCCGC